CTTGTACCTCCTGGCAGCTGGCACTGGCCTTGTGGTCACTGTCTTGGTCACTGAGGCTGCTGGCTCTTGATTCACACCATCCTCTCCAGCATCTGCCAGTGTCTGGCCTCCTCACCTGTTTGGGGACTCATTCCAACCTCTTGCTACATGTCTCAATCTCTGTCTTGAGCCTGTCCCTTTCAAATTTTTTTTCCTGTCCCATAAAGTTTCCTTTCATACACAACTTGAATATCTGAAAGAACAAACAAAAAAGTCGCCCTTGAATCCCCCTCTTCCCACAACCAGTCCATCAGGAGGCCATGCCAATGGCACCACTTTGACCTCTCTCCAACATGTCCACTTCCCATCCTGGTCAGGGTCACCATCCTCCACTGTGGACATCTACTCTGTCTCCTCCTTCTTCTTTGATCCCCTTCCAGTCCATGTTTCACACAATAGCAGAAGTAGCTTCCTTGAAACATACACCAAGCCCCTCACTATGACCTGAAGGCCCTGTACCATCTGGCTCCAACCTAATTCTCCAGCTTTAGGTATGTATAATGATACTTTTTTTTTCTAGACCATTCTCATCAGTTACAGTTGTATACAAATTCTTTGCTACTTCTCTGCCTAGTCCCTCACTCCCCACCAAGAAGCAGAGCATAATCTCTGTACCCTTGAATGTTGGCTGACCTTAAAGGACTTGCTTGACCAACAATATGGCAAGTTACACTGCAATTTCCAAGGCCAGGTCAGAAGTCTTGGGGTTTTTTATCTCAGTCCCCAGACTACTTCTCTGGGTGTCATGAGTCACCAAGTGGGAATTTCATCTACCTAGACTGTATTGCTAAGGCCACATACAGAAATCTGGGTCCCACTCAGCCCAGTCTTCCCTGCCAAGATGCCAGTCCTGTGACTAAATGTACCTAGGATACTGCAGACAGGCCTTATGTGCCAACTCAATACCATCAGGCCTGTTCAAAAGATGTGCATCACAGGTCATGTGGAGGGGTACCCAGCAGCTCCCCTTGGAAATTTCTGGTCCACAAAATTGTGAAATATGAAATACTACATTAAATATTATGTTATCAAGTTTTGGGATGATGTGTCACGTTTCTCCCCACCCCCCGAGGCTTGACACATGCTTCTTGCTGGAAAACACTTCCTACTATGTGATCACTTCCTTCTCTGAAATGTTCACCAAAGAGGACCCTTCCAAACAGCCCAAGTAAGTTAAAAGTACCAAAATGGGACTATATCATAGTTTATTTATTTCTTTGTGAACCCTTAGCAAGTAAACAGGCATACATAAAGAAAATTTTTAATCTTACTTCCTCCTAGAGCAGCTGTTTAGTAATCTATGGACCAGAGGCTAGCCAACTGCTTTTTTATTAGTGTCTTAATGGGCTACAGCAATACAAATATATTTATGCATCGTACAGATAATATTTTTGCTGTTGGTTATACTGGGATTAAAATCATGGGTACTCTATCAGAAATACATCCCTATTATTTTTAATTTTAAAATCCCCAGTATTTTTAAACTACTATTCTTTTGAGACAGGGTCTTGCTAACTTGTCAAGGTTGGCCTTGGACTTATGATCCTCCTGCCTTAGCCTACCCAATAGGTGGCATTATGGGCATATGCCACAAGATTTGATTTGTACAAGTAATTTTTTTTTAAATTTTAATATTTATTTTTTAGTTTTTGGCAGACACAACATCTTTGTTTGTATGTGGTGCTGAGGATCGAACCTGCGCTACCGCTTGAGCCACATCCCCAGACCTGTACAGGTAATTTTGACATGGCAGAGTGAAGAAGTTGCCATTGAAACCATGTGACCTACAAAGTCTAAAATATTTACTGTCTGCCCAACCCTTGCTCTAGAGTCTTAGAAGAGCAAGAGCTATGAATCTCTCCACTTTTTATGGTACATGGCAGGTTTAGGTATATAATTAGTATATGTTGAAATAATTAAAGATTTTAGTTTCCTAGCTATCCATTCTTACTGAGAGGCTCTTTTTGGTAGGGCAGGCTATAAGAGGCTGGGTCAGTTCCCTGCTCATTTCCTCAGAGACTAAGGTAGCACAAAAACAAAAGCCCTAGAGACCACGCACAGGACTTTGGTGCCTTAAGGTCAGCCAAAGAAGACCTTGACACCATCTCAGCCCTTATGCTCAGTTTCAAGGAAAAAAAAGAGTGAGGTATCCATTAGTACCATAACCCACAGCTATGGTCAACCCCCAGGGAAGGGTGGGAGCATCTCAGGGAGCAGAGGGTCCTCTGCTCTCCTCAGTGAACTTGAGTTGGGATAGACTCTGGAGAGCAGCCATGCAGGAGATGGGGAAGCCCCGCCTCAGGAAGGAGCAGGGAAGATGACAAGGCAGGCCCCATAAATGCCACTTGCCGGTTAGCCTAGACATGATGGGACAAAGGGGTCAGGCTGTGTGGTCACAGGTTGTTCCTGTGCAAGTCTGGGGTGTCCAGGCTGTGTATGCACATGCACAAAGAGGAGGCAGACCCTGAGAATCTGCCTGGATTGCTGGGATGAGGTATGGACTTTTGACCCTGATGTCATGAGTTTGGAGGGCCCTCTGCTCAAAACACATTGCACACACATGTCCTTTTAATCTGGTTTCATCTCTCAGGACCAGAAGAGAAAACATTCCCCTGTCCCTCCATCATTTCCTCCCAAGGTCCCCAATCAGTTTCCATGGATCTATAGAGGGTTACATTTAGTGATGAGCGGGGGTCTTAAGACTTGAGAAAGAGCCAGATTCTAGAAGTCCCAAGTCTTGGAGGGCTTCCAGTAGCTGTTCGCGGGCAGCACCAATAAAGGAATTCTCCAGGAAGGCAGGCAAGCCTCCCACTCCATCTCGCAGGGTATATAGAGGCACCCGCACAAGGCCCAGGACCTGTGAAAGCAAGACAGGAGACATTTGGACCCCCATAGCTAGTCATGTTACCTGGATCCTTTTTGCAACAGATGTCTCTAGAGCAAAGATCTTACTTCCCTTAACAACTAGGCAGAACCAGCTCCAAGGCTCATACCTCAGTGAAGTTGAGTGATCCCAACCCTGAGCAGGTGCCTAATCCAAGACATGCTCTCCAGCTCCATAAATGCTAATCTTTACTACCTCTCTCCCTGAAACCTTTAGTGATTCCAGCCTCTAGGATTTAGGCATAGCTCTATAGCTGAGGTTCTTGAATGTGGAATCTACAGTAGCTGTTTCTGCATCACTTGGGACCTAGTGAAAAATGCAAATTCTCAAGACTTCCTCCAGCCCCAACTCTCACTAGCAATCGAAAGAATGGGATCCAGGAAATCACTGTTTGAGTATATATTTCTAAAGTGAGCATAGTAATCACTGTTTTCATAACTTCTCCCTGTGATTCTGACATGTGCCCAATTTGATAAAATACCTCTGTACGCAATCTGTCTCTATTCGCCTAGCCTTTAGCACGGGCCATATCTTCTAAGAAAAAAAGGGGGCCCAAAATTAAGTGCTTAGGGTGTCTCAACTGATCATTATCACATTATCAATAAGGAACAACGGAGAAACTTGGATGGACGTGCTCTAGAAAGATTTCTGTAGAGGCTGATATGGTGGGGGAAGAGGACAGACCTGCACGAGAGAGACTGGTTTGGCAATACTATTCTGATTAGAGATGAGCAAAATCCCAACTACTCCTAGAAACCGCGGAAGATTGCAAGGTCTCAAGGGTTATGACTCCTTTCAGGGAGGTTTTCTTTGGGGAAAGAGCGACAGATTGGGTGTGGGGCGGGACCCTGGCTGGCCCCACCTCCAGCCCATGGTCCTTGGCTTGCGGTGCGCCAGCTTCCACAGCCTCCAGCTGCTTTAGGGTCAGGCGCTTGACGTAGAAATGGGCCACCACTCGCGGTCTGGCCCCAGCGTGTGAGCTCCGGTAATCAGTGCGCTCCACGCGGAAGGCCGACACCGCTTCACCGAGCTCCTCGCGCAATTCTCGGTTCAGCCCGTCCTCCAGGCTGCTGTCCTGCGCGTCCACAAAGCCGCCTGGGAAGCCCAGGCGTCCATCGAAGCGCATCTGCATCTGAGGGAGGGGAAGTAGGGTTGGCTGAGGTGCGCAAAAGGTGCGCCCCCGGGACCGTGCAGGGCTGGGGCGGGGAGTGGCCAGGCGCGCCCCCTCCTCACCAGCACGGCGTACCGCAGCGGGATGCGGCCGAAGAGCATCCCCGGGTCGGGCGCGTAAAGCAGAGCGTGGCAAGCATGCCTCCAGCCGGACCCCAAAGCCAGGGCCTCGGCCAGCTCCACCTTGTGGCCCCCGGCCATGGCTGGAGGATCTCTCTCTCTTCCTGGTCTGGACAGACCACGTGCTTTTTCCGGGGGAGGGGTGTCTCATCTCCCACCTATAGGGTCCTGGCTGGGGTGCTAGGGCCAATCCCTGCAGGGCGTATGGGCGGGACCGGCCTGTGTTAGGGCAGGCCTGATGACTGATTCCGGCAGCAGCCAATCAAGGCGGGGCTTTCAGGTAGATCCTGCGGGACTGTTGGGAAACTGAAAGCTTTCTCTCGGTTGGGCATTACACCGAGGCGGGCCTGAAGGGGAATGGGGAGCCCTGAAATCCTGGCAAGGCCAGTCAATAGATGCTTACGTCACAGTTTGAATTCCAGGCCTTTCCGGGGATGTCCCTAGAGCAGCTGGGAAATGCTGCTTTTGTAGCCTGAGCAGGATTTAATGGCCCAGGAGTCCCGATGGTGGGAGGAACAATGTAGTGTGGTTCTGGAGACTACTTTTTTGAATGATGGGATTGAGAGCATTCAATGTGGGGGGAGTTAGGTTGAGCGTTAGGTTAGGGATTGTGGCCTAGGTGATAGTAATGTCGCACCCTCCCCCCCCCCTTTTTTTTTTAAATCCTAGATGGTAGTGATAGCACTGGTGGCCAAAGGGACTGGAGGGATCTAGTGTTCAGTGCGTGGCACAAGGAAAAGTCACGGGATCCGAAGAGATTTTTCTGTGGAAGGGAAGTGAAAGAAGGTGCTGTGGATCAGCCCCGTGGCTAGGAATGGGAAGTAGGAGTTGTTTGAGGTACAAAAAGCCCCCTAAGCCTCCTGGATTTTACCCACAAACACCCTCAGACCTTTGAGCAGTGAGAGAGGGTGAGAGACAGGAGGCTTACCCTGCCACAGGGCAGCGGCCTCTCCAGGCATGCTGCTGCTGATGGAGGATTCCCATTCCGGCACCCCAGCTAAGTCTTCACCCTGAAGATTGCCCGGATGCCCAAAGTCCTAAGTTTATTACACCAAGGGAATGAGGAGGCAGCTCCTTGAGAGGGCCCTGGGCATAAAGTCACAGCCAGGAAATGACAGCTCATGGTGAGCCCAGAGCTCTCCCAGAATCAGGCTTGTGACTTAGCAGTCACTTAATTCTCTCAGGTCCCTGACTGCTCAGCTGTTACATGGAGATGATCCCGACCTATTAGGATGCCGAGTGATGTAAAGCACTCTGAACTTTGTGCCAGGCACAAAGTGAATGTAGCCATTCTTGGAGTGGAGGATGGGGGCACAGTGCTGAGTCTTAGGTTAAAGACCCAGGTTTGGAGCTCAGCTGCAATCCTTATCCCTCAGCTCTGCTAAGGGGGATGAGCTGTTCTTGGCATCATCTTTCCTAGCTTGGTCTTCTGAGTAGCAGGGCAATATCTAACATCAGGCAACTGGATAGAGATGATGAGGCCCTAGGTGTGGTACAGTCATTATCCCACTAAGAGTTCTAGGGGAGAGGAAATGCCCCTGGTTAAATTGTAGGGTCACCTTGCAAAAAGAGTATGAAAATTTATAAGAACTCCCAATTCCTGGGTTTCAGTCCAGACCAATTGAATCAAATTCCATAGGGGTGTTGCTAGGGGATGGGTGGTTTTAAAAACATGTTTCAGTTGACAAACATCCAGGGTTGATAACCAATACCATCAACTCCTTCTTCCCCTCCCCCTAGCATTACAGGATGATTTCGTTTCTCTTCTGAATGGGCTATCTTTAAGAAAGTAGGGTCAAACATTCCCTTTCCAGAGCATTATCTCATCTTTCTTTGGTTGCTTGAGGCTTGTAAAGATGGATTTAAGTATTTCTAAGGCAATATGAATAACTAAAAAACCAGGAATTAATGACTTTGGAAACCAGAGTTTCCAAAATGATATTCTTTGTGGCCAAAGGGACTGGAGGGATCTAGTGTTTAGTACGTAGCAAATGGAAAAGTCATGGGATCCGAAGATCCTTTTCCAGGATGAATTGATTTAGAAGCACTCAAGATCCCCCCAACCTTGCCAAATCTTTCAAATTGCTGTCTGCTTATGGCCTATCTCCCATTCCCCAACCCCTGTCCCACCATGCTCAGGTAGATTGCCCTGCAGTAAAGGCTGAAAGTAGAGGACAGAGCCATGTGACTCAAGAGCTGCCCCAACTTAATAATGGTGCTCAAAACCAAAAATTGATTAGTGGTTTTACTTGAAAGATACTGCTGAGCCAGTTCATTATTTTAATAATAATGAAGAATTAAGCATCTCTGCTACTTCTAAAAATATGGACTCTACCTCAAGGTTATCACATAGTTGAACAGGAGAAATTTCCATGATAAAAGCATTTCTGCTAATGAAAGAAGGAGCTAATCAAGAATTTACTATTCTTAAGTTTTAAAGAATTTACCATTTTTGAATTTTAGGCAATATTCACCAATGCTTGTTAACATTGCAAAAAAGCAACCAGCTATTGCATAGATCATGATGGAAGAAAACACCACCTGCTATGAATAGGCTTGGGTCATATTCCTAAAAGACAGAATCCTGAATGCCATATCCCCCAATGTTAAAATTCTGAAAGATCAAAATCCATTAACTCCCCAACTTTGAAACACCAAAATCCTCAAACTATAACTCTGGAAAAAATAATGAAAATATTCTTTAAGAGACATTTATTTACATTTCTAAAAAGGGTTTTATTGGAGAAACATAAGAATACAAGAGAACACTTCCTAGACCACTTTGTACAACAGAATAGACAATAACATATTTTTACAAGCATATAATATATGTTAATATATATTGATAGTTAATATAGTATATTAATAGTTTCACATTTATGAACAGATTAATATACTATAATAATCAATTCACATTTATGAACAGATGAGCCATATTAACTAAGAAATGTGTCAACAAATTCAAATGTATAAACACATATCACTATAGTTAGTAATTGTGTATACTCAGATTTATAACTAATCATCTGAAACATTGTGACAGTCTTGATGAAGTTCATAAAAACTGCAATGGGTCACCATTGCACTTTGCCCAGCATATGCAGTTACCCAGAGTTGAGATCTCAAAAATTTGTTTCATAAATGAAGATGTACACACAGGACATCTCTGTTCATTGAGGAGATTTCGACATTTTTACATAAAACGCACAAAGTCAACATTGTTACAATTCACTTCTTGGGAATAAAATTTGCATAAAATGAATGAGAACACTCAAAGTCTTTGAGCAATTTATAGCTTCCTTATTGGGATTGATGCAAAGATAAAATGATTTCATAGCCAAGTATAGAGAGAATGCTGACAATTTTAAATGATGAGGAAAAACTATAAAAGAAAATTGACACATGGCAAAGACATATTACAGAGATAAATTATGGGCAATTGCACAGAGGTAATCCGTAATCACTGACAGACATTCAGGATCATTGTATTTTGAAGTCTTGCATCATGATAAATACCTGCTTGCTTTCTTTTAAGGCCTAGCTCTCCTTAGAGAACATATTCACATTCATTTTCTATATAGTGTTTTTCTTTTTGAAATTCTTTTATGATTTGATATCCACTGACATGATCATTCCCTATAAGTCTTCCCATCTTCCACACTATGTGTCTATGTTGTTTGGGCAAGGCATTCCACATATCTGTACTCATGTATAGATCACAGATCTGTGGAACTTACACAGGTGATTGAACAGCATATTGCAGGACTTCTTACCCTACAATGCACATATTATTTTCAAAACAATAATTTCACTGTTTTTTTTTTCAGGCAAATGCAGCTTTAATTCATTTAAAATTTCTGGAGGCTGGGGATGTATGTAGTTCAGTGCAGCACTTTCCTAGCATGCATAAGACCCTAGGTTCAATCCCCAGTAAACAAACACACACACACACACACACACACACACACACACACACACACACTTCCTAGAGTTTCATTAGCTAGAAGGAATGCCAGTGCAAACGGAGGAATATTTAAAGTGAAGCTTTCATTGTGGCTGTATTTTATGGTCAATCCATTCATCTGACTTTTCTGCCCAATGCACTGATCTAAATGGAAAAAAACAAGCTTGATTGGTAATACCTTAGAAATTGATTTTTAGAAGATTTGATTATACCTCATTCCAAGTCTGTCATTATGGTTTGAATTTACAATTCACTTTCTTCTTCAAAGCCCACCAAATCTTCAAATAAACATTTATAAAGTACTTCAGTTTTTCCAAGCATTAGCACATAGATGAACGGATAAACTCCAGAATTTTTACATCCAACAGCAGTGTAAATTGTATATATCTGATTAAAAACAGGGGAGAGAGTTTTGAAAGTGCCATCCATTACCCAAAGTAAATCATGTGCTTATTTTTCTGTTAGATTTAGTGGTAAACGTAAGAAGTCTATCTTCCTCAAATGTCAAATCTCTAACCAAGAGGAATTCACCAATTTTTAAAATTTTATGTATGTATTGGTACTGGGGATTGAACCCAAGGATGTTTTACCACTGTGCCCATCCCCAGCCCTTTCTATTTTTTATTTTGAGACAGGGTTTCTCTAAGTTGATTAGAGCCTAAATAATTGCTGGGGCTGAACTTGCAAACCTCCTGCCTTATCCTCCCAAGCCACTGGCTCCCAAGCCCAGCAACAATAGTTCATCATTTAACAAACACATTTTGTAGTGCTGGAGCAACCTCTATATGAGCAAGTGTCTTCAGAAGTTTGCCAAACTTGTCGAATTTTTATTCTCATTCAAAGTGCTTTAAAAAAAAAAAAACAAGCATGGTGCTATTTGTAAAGGGGCAGAAGTAGTTCATCATTGAACAATTTGGCAATTATCCTGTGTGTACCATGGAAAATGTACAATTGCCTTCCCCAGAATTTGACTTTCTATTGCTCTTATATACCCTTTTTCCATGGGGAATATGGTTTTCAGGATTTCAATGGTTGGGATTATGATGTTCATGATTGTGTCTTTTAGATTATGATCAGCATCACTTTTATTATTAATTATTCTTGCTCTTTCAGTTTTAAGATTGAACTGGTATGAATTCATACCAGGTTTACATAAAGAGGACTG